ACAAAGCTGGGTTTGACTTCCTGGCTGCCACTTACCCGTGTGGGAGCTAGAATGCCTTGGGTTTGAATTTCAGGTCAATGCTTGAGGCAAATGTCTTCACCGAGACATTCAGAGACTCAGTACCTGTTCTGGGGGTAATATCACCCACCCCCTAGCGCAGGGCTAAATATTAAACTGGGTCATGTAGAGCCCCTAGCACAGGCGAGATACTCAACAGATGGTCAGTCAGTCTGCCCTTCTGAAAGAACCCCTACTACCAGGTCTCAGTTGCCAACCGGAAGCTGCTCTCTCGCTAGGAACTAGGAGCTGAAACACACAGGTGATATCTGTAACATTCTCCAAACTATTTTGTAAGCATGTGCTCTTGCTATGCACATATGTTTCACATATTTACAATACCCCATGGATATCTATTTTTAGGGGTGTAAAAACATCTGGATTTATACAGCTTCCCCCAGATGTTTTTCTATACATTGGATTTAATATTACCCACAATAAAAGGAGTGAATTTCGTTTGGGAGGGACCATTATCACTTTGAGTCTACAAAGACCCTCAGAAAAAGATAGATCTGTCCACCAATAAACTTGCATCTGAGGGATCTTGGGCTAGGGGGATCTTGCTATTAGCATATTCATGTGCATGAGACTTATATCAGATGTTCCTTGCAATCAGTTTTTTTTTTATTTTATTTATTTATTTGACAGAGAGAGAGACAGAGAGAGAGCACAAGCCGGGGGAGAGGCAGGCAGAGGGAGAAGCAGGCTTCCCCCTGAGCAGGGAGCCTGATGTGGAACTCGATCCCAGGACCCTGGGATCATGACCTGAACTGAAGGCAGACACTTAACCGACTGAGCCACCCAGGCATCCCCTTGCAATCATTTTTTAATTAAACTTTTTATTTTGAGGTAACTGTAGATTCTCATGCAGTTGTAAGAAATAATACAGAGAGATCTCAGGTATCCTTTACCAATTTCCCCCAACGGTAACTGTAATACAAGATCAGAATCAGGATATTGACTGTGAAAGAGTCAAGATACAGAACATTTCCATCGCCACAAGGATCCCTTTTGCTGCCCTTTTTTTTTTTTTTTTAAGATTTTATTTATTTGACAGAGAGACACAGTGAGAGAGGGAACACAAGCAGGGGGAGTGGGAGAGGGAGAAGCAGGCTTCCCGCTGAGCAGGGAGCCCGATGCGGGGCTCGATCCCAGGACCCTGGGATCATGACCTGAGCCGAAGGCAGACGCTTAACAACTGAGCCACCCAGGCGCCCCTTGCTGCCCTTTTATAGCCACACCTACCTCTGTCCCCTCCTTAACCCCTGGCCACCACTAATGTGTTCTCCTTATCCATAATTTCATTCTTGTCATTTCAAGAATGTTGTATAAATGGAATGATAGAGTATGTAACTTTGGGGGTTGACTTTTTTTCACTCGGCATAATTCTCTGGAGATTCATCCAGGTCATTGCTTATATCAATAGTTTGTTCCCTGGGGCACCTGGGTGGATCAGTGGCTTAAGCATCTGACTCTAGATATCAGCTCAGGTCTTGATCTCAGGGTCATGAGTTCAAGCCCCGAATTAGGCCCCGCACTGGGAGTGGAGCCTACTTAAAAAATAAATAAATAAAATATATAAAAAATTTGTTCCCTTGTACTGCTGAGTACTATTCTATGGTATGAATGTACCACAGTTTGTCTAAACATTCACACATTGAAAGATACCTGGGCTATTACAAATAAAGCTCCTGTAAACATTCGTGTATGGGTTTTTGGTGAACACGAGTCTTCATTTCTCTGGAATAAATGCTTGGGAGTGCAGTTGCTGAGTCATGAGATAGTTGCATGTTTAGTTTTAAAAGAAATGGCCAAACTGTTTTCCAGAGTGGTTGCGCCATTTTACATTCCTACTAGCGATGTCTGCATGATCCAGTTTCTCTGCGACCTCATCAGACTTTGGTATTGTCACTATTTTTTGATTTAGCCATTCTGATTGGTGGCCAGCATTATTTCACTGTGATTTTAATTTGCATTTCTGTGATGGCTAATAATGTGGAACATCTTTTCATGTGTTTATCTGCCATCTGTATTCCTCTTTGGTGAAATGTCTCTTCATGGGTTGTACCCATTTTATAATTAGATTTTTTTTTTTAGTGTTGAGTTCTGAGAGTTCTTTATATATTCTAGATACTGGTTCTTTGTGGAATGTGTGGTTTGCAAATATTTGCTCCTGTCTTGTAGCTCCTCTTTTTATTCTTTTAATGGGGCCTTTCTCAGAGCAAGTTTGTAATGTTGATGAAGTTCAATTTAACCATTTTTCCCTTTATAGGTCGTACTTTCAGCATTAAGTCTGAGAATCCTAGATTCTGCGATTTTTCTCCTGTGTTCTATTCTAAAAGTTTTGTAGTTTCACATTTAAGTCCATGAGTTAATTTTTCTGTAAGATCTGAGACATAGGCCAAGATTTGGGGGGTTCTTTTTGCTTGTTTTTGGCCCATGACGTCTAATTGTTCTAGCACCATTTGTTGAAATAAGGTTATCTGGGCCGCAAGGCATGGGATGATGGGCACCGCCTTCCTTAGAGCACAGCATGGTCGTTCCCCTGAGGGGATGCCACTGCTGGGGCCCTACACAGGCACGCTAGCTCCCAGGCCCTTCTCCAGGAAATTTCCTCCTCTCCCTCCCTTCTTGGAACCACAGGCCTCACCCACCTCCACCTCTCCAGGGACATTCCACATCACCTGTCACTTCACTGGGCTTCGGCTTTCCTGGGAGACTGGAGGAGCCACTGGTTTCAGGTGCCTCTGGGCTTCCCACTCCACAAGAATCCTTCCAGCCATAGGCACGAGAGCGTGGCTCCCTGCTTGAAGGGAAGAGAGAAGAGGCGCCTGGGTGGCTCAGTCGATTAAGCGTCTGCCTTCAGCTCAGGTCATAATCCCAGGGTTCTGGGATGGAGTCCTGCATTGGGCTCCCTGCTCAGTGGGGAGCCTGCTTCTCCCTCTCCCCCTGCTTGTGCACTGTCTCTCTCTCTCTCAAATAAATAAATAAAATCTTAAAAAAAAAAAAAGAAAGGAGGAGAAAAGGACACTCAGAGAAGGCAGAAACATAAATGAATACTTCAATATATTGTCACAGAACTATTTTATGTTCTAGTTTTTACTTGTGATAATTGCCTTATTAATAAGGTAGGAAGAAAAAAATCAGTGCTTACTTTTATTAATATTTTTATTTAACAAACACTTATATAGCAGGTATCACATACCAGGTGCTGCCCAGAGCTGTTTACAAATACTAACTCGTTTAGTTCTCATAACGACTTTTATCAGGTAGGTAGGTCCTATCATTGTCCCCATTTCACAGATGAGGAAAAAACTGCAACACAGAGAAATTAAGTAACTTGCTCCCTCGGGGTCACACAGCTGATAGTGGCAAAGCCAGGATTTGAACGCAGTTTGTCTTTAGACCTTGCAGTCCTAATTCAATGGTAATTACTGAGAGCTCCTTTTGAGAATTGAATTTTTTAAATGTACTCATCTTCATAATTAGAAGCTCATTTGCCTTTAGCTTGACCTTTATGATCTATTTTTTTTTAAAGATTTTATTTATTTATTTGACAGAGAGAGAGACAGCAAGAGAGGGAACACAAGCAGGGGGAGTGGGAGAGGGAGAAGCAGGCTTCCCGCGGAGCAGGGAGCCCGATGCGGGGCTCGATCCCAGGACCCTGGGATCATGACCTGAGCCGAAGGCAGATGCTTAACGACTGAGCCACCCAGGCGCCCCGATGATCTTTTTTTTTTTTTAATTTACATCTGATTAGCCAATGTAGAGTACATCACTAGTTTCAGATGTAGTGTTCAACAATTTATCAGTTGCAGATAACACTCAGTGCTATTTTAAAGATCACGTCTTCACTCTCTAAATCAGTCTTTCATGCCATTGACTAAAACACTTCATCATTTTGAAAAATAACCTCTTTCATCTTTTCAGAGGATAGCTTTCCAGGAGAGCCTTCTGCCCAATGCTATCAGAGCCATTATTTTTCTTATGTAGCATTTGTCAAGTTGCTGCAATTTATAGATGGGGGAAGCAAGGTTGAGGTGACACAGCCAAGAAATAAATAATAACTGGTTGGTTTCACAACTAATACCACTATTAATAACTAATACCACCTTTGCAGGTGAGTTGGAATTTTTCAAAACACATGTGAAATGTACGTAAAGGACTCTAGAAATAGAAGGTATGGTTGTCTGTGGTCTCCATCCATGAGAAACCCTAACACACAAGCATTCCCACCAGCCTGACCCTGACACCACCACAAGAACGTCCAAAGCCAGTCTTGGCCAAATAGGTGGGCTAGAGAAGCGGCCCAGAGGAGAGGAAAGGAGAGGAGTGACCCACTGTCACTGCCCAAGTGCTTCCAAGCAGAGGCTGCACCAAACCTCTTAGAGCAGGAAGTTAGGTGATGCACATTGTTCAGAAGCTTCAGCTCGATCCTCCAATTCTAGTAGCTGTGGCTTGACTTTCATGCCTTTGCGGTCAAGGCCACCTCAACTCCAGCACTGGGGTCTCCAAGAAGAAGTCAAAAGTGACAGCTAAGCCTGCCCCCTGCCCCCACCCAGCGCCCGATCACTTTGACCCTAGGGCTGCAACAGGGCCCCTGAAGGCCCAACTGTGTGGCTGATGTCCACTTTGTGGCTCATTTTTGCTGTGATATTTTGGGATCCCAATTGTGTTTATACCTTTTGAGACTTTATTATTTATTCCCACAGAACAGTTGTGTTTTTTTTTAAGATTTTATTTATTTATATGACAGAGAGAGAGAGAGAAAGCACAAGCAGGGAGAGAGATACCAGGACCCTGGAATCATGACCTGAGCCAAAGGCAGATACTTAACTGACTGAGCCACCCAGGCACCCGTCCCACAGAACAGTTTTTTTAAGCTTTAGTTGGATGCAAACTCCTCAAGGACAGAAATTTCTGAATTATCTTTGTCATCCCAGGACTTGACAGAGAGAGGCCGGCACAGAACTCCACAAAGGTGTGCTGCACGGAAGAAAGGTAGCCAGTCTTCCTGTGTGACCTGGAGGGGACATTTGGATAGGTTCCTTTTCCTGTAAGTATTTTTCCCATAGGTAAGAGTATAAGGCATATACAATTTGCAGTCCTACTTTTGTTTTCAATGAACATGATATAGGCATTTTCCTGTGTGCTATAGTCTGAATAACTGTGCCCCCCACCCCAAATTTATATGTTGAAAACTTAATGCCCAAGGTGATGGTATTAAGAGGTAGAGCCTTTAGAGGGTCAGTAGGCCATGAGGGTAGAACCCTCATAAAATGGGATTAGTGCTCTTATAAAAGAAACCCCAGAGAGCTCGCTTGTCTCTTTTATCATGTGAGAGTGCTATGAAAAGTCTGTGACCTCAAGAGGACCCTTACCGACCATGTTAGCACCCTGGTCTTGGGTTAGCAAGATAAATAAATTTCTGTTGTTTATAAGTGACCTAGTCTCTGGTATTTTTTTATAGCAGCCCAAATGGACTAAGACACTGTATTACCACAAATTCTTCCCATTTTTTTTGTGTGTGCATGTGATTGATATTAATATTTGTGTGAATGTACCCACATTTTCTAAGCCTTTTTTTTTTTTTTTTTTTTTGGTGTTCAGCTTTTAGATTATTTCCTCTTATTAACTATTGTAAATAAAACTGTGGCCAGTCCTTTCATCTGCATTTGGCCTGGTTTCTTAGGATTCCCTGAACTGGAATTGCTGGCTTAAAGGGAATAAACAGCTTTTGCTAATTTGATAGTTTAAAACACGTCATCTTGTGGTTTTAATCTGTATTTCTTTCCTTGTTAATGGTGCCAAACATTTTTCTTTATCTTTGTTTACTAACTGTATTTCCTTCTTTGTGAATTGTCTGTTCATGTCCTTTGTCCATTTACCTGGTAGGGTCTTAATGTTCCTCTTACCAATTTGTATAAGTTTTTTTCCATTTTAAAGATTCTAACCCTTCTTATATTTGCTGAAAACAATTTCCCTCTTTCTGTGGCCTTGGGTTTTAATGCTATAGTGTTTGTTTATTGATATAGATATTTTCTAATTTTTTATAACTTATTTTTTCTATATTTTTAATAACTTTCTCCCATACTTCTATTTTTTTTTTTTAAGATTTTATTTATTTATTTGAGAGAAAGAAAGAGTGCACATGCAAGAGAACACAAGCAAGGGAAGCGGCAGAGGGAGAGGGAGAGGGAGAAGCAGGCTCCCAGCTGAGCAGGGAGCCCCATATGGGGCTCAATCCCAGGACCCCAAGATCATGACCAAAGGCAGACACTTAACCGACTGGGCCACCCAGTCGCCCCCCTCCTGTACTTCTATTGTTTCTAACATTGAAATTCTTGAAAGAGAGGCCCGTACCCACCAGGTCGCTTTTTGAAACTCCACTCTCTCCAAAATCCACCATCATCCATCTATTGAGTCTAGGACTCTTTACAAGCTGCTCTCTATAAAGTCACCAATGACCTTCTACCACCTTTTAAATCTTGTGGCCCCCACCTGACCCCCTGGAGGCATCTGGAAGGTGGAGAGCACCTCTCCTCTTGGCCTCCAAGGTGGACCCTGTTAATTGCCTCCTCAGCACCATCTGCCCTTTCTCATTGGCTGCTCCTTCTCAGTCCCCTTCACCAGATCCTCCTAATCCTCCCATTTCCACAGGTTCTGAGAGACGTCTTCTCTTGTTCATTAAGTCTTATTCCTTAGGTGATTAATCTCATTTAGTCCTGTGGCTCTACATGCCAACTCCATGCTGGTGACTCCCAAATTTCTATTGCCAACCTGAACCTCACCCCTGAACTCCATATTTCAGCTTCCTCTGCAACATCTCCACTTGGCTATCTAATAGGCAATCCAAACTTAACATGGCCACAAGACCAAAGTCAGATCCTTGATTTAGTCTCCTAGACTCGTCCTCCCTGTCCCAGCAAACAGCAACCTCAACCTTACAGATGCTCACACTAGCTTTGGAGTCATCTTTGACTCCACTCTGTCATACCCTAAAGCCAGTCTATTGGCAAATCTTATCAAATGTATCTGGAATCTTATCACTTCTCACTTCTGCCAATCCAAGACTCCATTATCTCTCACCTGGGCTACTGCAGTAGAATCCCACCTGGTCTTCCTGCTTTCACTCTTGGCCCTTGTATCATCTGTTCCCCATACCACAGCCTTGTAAAAGTAAGGTAAATCATATCACACCATGCTTGGAAACCTCCAATAAAGTCTTTACCATGTCCGGGGTGCCTGGGTGGCTCAGTCGGTTAAGCATCTGCCTTCGGCTCAGGTCATGATCCCAGGGTCCTGGGATTGAGCCCCGCATCGGGCTCCCTGCTCCGCGGGAAGCCTGCTTCTCCCACTCCCCCTACTTGTGTTCCCTCTCTCACTGTGTCTCTGTCACATAAATAAATAAAATCTTAAAAAAAAAAAAAAAGTCTTTACCATGTCCTATTAAGTCTGTACCTATTGTCTCCCACCCCACCTTTTTGACTGTCTTCTCCCTTGCTTACTCCGCTCCAGCCAAGATGGTTGTGTGATTCATTCAAGATAACCAAGCATGCTCCCACCTCAGAGAGTGCACACCTATTCTTCCCTCTACCTGGAATGCTCTTCCACAACTACCCTTGCTGCCTCATCTGCTTCAGACTCTACTCAAATGTCATCTAATGAAAGAGGCCTTCCCTTACTCTGCTTTATTTTTCTTCATAGCACTTATTGTCACCTACATATGATGTATCTATTTATTGTTTATTGTCTATCTCCACTGACTAGAATATGGCTCTGTGGTAGAAACCTCAAAGTGGTTCCCCATGATCCTCACCTTCCAGTATTCATGCCCTTATATAATCCCCTCCCCTTGAGTGTGAGCTGAACCTAGTGACTTATTTCACAACAAACAATATGGAAAAAGTGACTGGACATCACTTCTAAGATTAGGTTACAAAACACTAACTGTTATCCTGCTTCTTACTTGACCTCTGGCCCAATGGAAAGGCCCACATTGCAATGAGCTGATGTCTCTGGCTGACAACCAGGAAGACGTGAGCCCAACAACTACATGAGTGAGCTGGGAAATAGATCCTCCCCTACTAGACCTTGAGATGACTACAGCCTTATGAGAGACCCCAAGCCAGAGGCACCCAGAGTCCCCAAGTCATATCCAAATTCCTGATCCATAGAAACACTGAAATAATAAATGCTTGTTGTTTTAGGCCTCTGAGTTTTGGAGAAATGTGTTACACAGCAATAAATGACTAAAACAAGGTCCAGTGGAGCAGGATTCCTATTTATTTTATCCACATTATCCCCAACATCTAGAAAATTGCACACAGTAGTTACTCAGCAATATTTCTGAATGAATGACTGAATTTCAGTTGTGCTAGGAAGACAGACTGTTTTGCTCTGGACAATGTGGTGTGTCTATGCGAGTACTGGAAACTACTTCAACCATTTTATTACCATTTGTTAAACCACCCTGAATGCAAAGCCAACACAGAGTGGGCAGAGCCAAGAAAATAAAGTCGCAGAGTCAGAAACCCAATGAACACACCTGCCCTACTTGTAAATTTTTTGGTTACTTGAGCAATATTTAAACTAGCTTGGGCTGACTTTTCAATAATTTGAAATGAAAAGCATCCCAACTACTACAGTTTTTATGGCATCATTCTCTCCCCTGTCCCCAAATGTTCTTCTTTATCTCTTTTTTCCTCTGCCTACACCCTTAGTGGTAGAGATTACAGTTGTCTACCCAGTTTCCATTCTCCCTTGTTCTCTAACAAGAGAATCCTGATTTAGTGAGAGCAGTAAGGGGTCTAGCTAAAGAACTACACTTCCCAGCCTCCCTTGAAGATAGGTCATGTGACTAAGTTCTGGCTAGTGTAAGCAGAAATTATGGGGTGGGTCTTCTGGAAAGACTTCCTTGAAAGCAGGCTCACTTGGCTGCCCTCTTCCGCTTCCCTGCTTCTTGAAATGTGATGGTGGGACCTAATGTGGCCATTTTATGATTGAAGCAAGTTTGAGGATGAAAAACACACACTAAATATGGTGGAAGAAATGAGAGGGCCTAGCTCTCTAATGAAGCCAACGTACTAACCCTGAGAACCCCACCACAGAACTTCTGTGATGAGAGAAATAAAAATCCTAATTTTGTTCCTTGTTTTTTCTGTTATCAATAACGTAAGTGACATAACCCTTAAATATGAACTTCCCCAGAGTCTGTCCTCGTCTTCTCTTTTCATGCACACACTTTTCCCAGCTCATCTCATCTACTCCCATGACTCCAGGAAACATCTACATAATAAAGACTCCTAAACTGATGCCTGCACCTCCTGCCTATTTCCCAAGCTCTAGACCCGGATCCCAACTAGATGGCCCTATAGAAGCATTTTGGGGATAGCATGGATTGTGGAGTCAGGGAGGGATAGTTGCCAACCCTGACTTCATTACTCTGAGTGACCTTGGGTGAGCAACAGCATCTCTGAGCCGGTAGTGTTCTTATTTGAGATGTAATGAACCTAATACTACTATTCCATAGGGTTTTTTATAACACAAATTCTATGTAAAACGGTGCTTGGCATGTAACCAATGCTAGATACCTTTAATTCTCTCGTTCCTATCACCCATCCCCACCCTCCTCCCATATCCACGATCTTCTGTCTTCTTACCTTCAGTTAAAAGCTTCACCAACTGCCCAGCCTCCCAAGATAGAAATCTTGGAATCTTCTTCAGCTTCTCTCTGTCAGTCCCCATCATTCCCTCATAGCCAATCAGTGACCAAATTCTGTTGATTCTGTCCTAGAACTGTGACCATGCTTTTCTATCTCCATTATTACTCTTATTTCTATGGCCAATCATAGGCTCTCTACAACTGAACCTCCCACCCTTCTATCAGAATTGTCCCTTTGAAAAACAAAACAAAACAAAACAGGACCTTGTATCAGCATAGCTTATGGGCCTTTCCTGAATTTTCTTGCCTACGGAATAAAATCCAAATTCAACAAATGGTCATCCAAGGCTGTCTTATTGCATCCCCTTCAGCCTCTCGCTCCTCTTTCCCCAGGTACTTCTCATGCAGTCCCCCAGACTCTCACGCATCGTTCTTTCCTGTTCCTCTGTATGGAGTAGAGATGCGTTTGGCTGCAAGTCACAGAGAACCTGACTACAGTGGCTTAAATAGAGATTTATTTTTCTCATGCAGCAAGAAGTCTGTAGGTAAGCAACTCAGGCCTGCCAGAGACGAAGCTTCTTCCTATCTTCCTATCTGGCTGGTTTTAATGAGTTGGTCCTCAGGTGGTTGCTACAGCTCCGAGCATTACATATAAGTTCTAAGCAGGAAGAGGTAGGAAGGATGGAGAGCCAAGGATGTCCCTTTCCATCAGGAAAGCACAGGTGTTCCCAGAAAACTTCTATTTACATCTCATTGGCCAAAACTATTCACATGACCACCCTGAGCTGCAAGGGGGGCTGGGAAGGGAGGGGAGGGCAAAGGAGAAAGTGGAGGGGCAGGGGTGTGAATGAGAACATCTTTGGGTCTCACCCCAGGCCCACGGAACCACAAATGCTGGAAGTGGAGCCCAGCATTCTGTGCTGTGACAAGTCTTCTAAATGATTCTGATTCTGCTGCAGCTGGAGAACCGTAGTCATATATTATGGCCAGTTGTATGGTAGGGGAAAAAAAATCCTAGGCTAGAATTGAAATCGCCCATATTTTTACTTTAATTTTTGCCACAGGCTAGCCAGGAGACATGAGTTTTCTGATCTATAAAATGGGAATATTAACGGTTGCCCCGACTTCATTCACTGAATTGTTGTGAAGAACAATTTAAATATTGCAGATGAAAATGTATTAGAGGGCGCCTGGATGGCACAGTCGGTTAAGTGTCTGCCTTCGGCTCAGGTCATGATCTCAGGGTCCTGGGATTGAGTCTTGTATCGGGCTCTCTGCTCTGTGGAGAGCCTGTTTCTCCCTCTCCCCCTGTTCTTCTCTCTCTCTCTCTCTGTCAAATAAATAAATAAAATCTTTAAAGAAAAGAAAACCTATTGGAAAATGTAAGTCATTGGACAGTGGTACTGATTTTTGGAAATGTAGAAACTCTCAGGTCACAGTTGATGTAGCTGACGTCTTCAGCAGAGTACAAATGCCTGGGAAAAGCAAAACTATCTGCAAAAAGTAAGAAGAGATCGAAAAATTGTGACAGTAAGGGACAAAAATAGAAATTGAAACCACAGACGTTCAGAATACACTGTTATCAAAAACAAATGTTTGCAGCAGCCCCAGTCGTTGCTGCTACAGGTGGTTTCCATGAGAGGAAAGAGGGCATAACTCGGTTTCAAAACAAATGCTTTGGAGGATAATGCAATGGAGCATTGAAGGGGAAGGTTCGTAAGAAGATACAAAACAAATGTAAGGGATTTGGTGTTCTGCCATTTGGATGCACCAAGCAGAGCGTCCATCCCTCACTGTGTTCAGACTTGCTCCCCCAGTTCCTTGTTTATTCATTCCACAGCAGTCGCCCGCAACACAGACACTGAATGGTTTTCACCGGTGAATTTGGACAAGTCCCCAGCTGCTCCCGAGGCACCAGGAAAGTCAGCCAGATGGACACACGCCTTCAGGTGAGCTTCTCAGGTAAGGAAATTGCTGTGACCCAGATGGCAGAGCCGCGCCAACATCAGGAGACCGGCCGGTGCACTCAGGTGAGAAGCACAGCGTCAAAAAGGAAGTGTAGACAACTCTGAATACACTTAAAAACAATGAATGGTACACTTCACCTGGGTGGATTCTGTGACATGTGAATTGTATCTCAATAAAGCTATTAACAAAAAAAAAAGCGGTGGGGAGGCGCCTGGGTGGCTCAGTTGGTTAAACGTCTGCCTTCAGCTCAGGTCATGATCTCAGGGTCCTGGGATCGAGTCCCGTATGGGGCTCCCTGCTCCGCAGGGAGTCTGCTGCTCCCTCTGCCCCCCTCCATGCTCATGTGTGCTCTCTCTCTCTCTCAAATAAATAAATAAAATCTTAAAAACATAACAAAACAAAACAAAAAAATTTTAAAAAAAGGAAGTGTTTTCAGGAGACCCCATGACCCAGAGGCTACGCAGCAGCTAAGAGACGCTGTGTGTGTAGGTGTCAGTTAAATTTGTACAAAATGTGAAGCCAAGGTTTATTTATTGATTTGTTTAACATCTGGGCCCCAACGTGCAAGTGCTATGATAAGAGAGTTTGTAGAAGCAAAATCACAAAGCCACCTGCTTCTTGGTGCTGAGAGAGAGGGTGGCGATCTGCCTATGAAAAGCTGATGATGTAACTATCTGAAATTGGTGGTGCCCTGTAGCCAAGCTCAGTTCAAATAAATAGGCCAATGCTGGGGCACAGATTGGAAATATTCAGCCACTTTCAGCTTCCTGAGGGTGTTTTAGTTCATCAATGAGCCAAGTAGAGCCTCACCTGTTTCTCCTCCTTCCCCTTCTGTGAACCCCTCACGACCTCCCTCACCCCTGCAGTGGTAGTAGGTGGCCAGGACAGCCATAATTCCATATGTGAACATATTTCCTCAGTTGCGTTTTTCTCCTTCCTTCCTAGGGGAGACTGTTCTGGTTATGGCTGCTCCCAAGAACAGGGATTGAAATGTAGTCAGTGGGACAGGGTGTTTCGGGGTTACGATTCCTGGGGTCAAGTGCGAGCCCTACCACTCACAAGTCAGTGACCTGGTAAGTCATTTAACACCTCTTGATCCCATCCCTTATCTGGTATTCCAGGACTTTGCTTCTGAAATGACCCCCTCTCCCCTGCAGCCAAGTCTCAGGTTCTCTACCGCACCATTCTCATCAGCAATACCAGCGGCTAGAACTTCTCGCGTAGTAAAACTCCAACATAAACACAAAACCTCCCTGCCTCCCCATCCGGAGAGACGGTCTTTAGTTCCGCCCCAATCCTTTGCTCTGTTCTCCTTCACAACAAAATTCCTAAAAAAGAATTGCTTAGTGTTGCAGACTGAATTGTGTGTCGCCCCCCACCCCCAGAATTAATATGTGGAAGCCCTCGCCCCCAACACCTCAGAAGGTGACTGTATTTGGAGACAGGGCCCTTAAAGAGGTTTAGGTTAAACCAAGGCAGTCTGAGTGGGCTCCAATCCCAATCTGAAGAGGAGACTGGGACGCAGACAACACAGAGGAAGAGTCCATGTGAGGACACAGGGAGAAGGCAGCCTTCTGCAAGCCGCACAAAGAGGCCTCGGGAGAAGCCAATCCTGTCAACACCTGGATCTTGGACATCCAGCCTCCAGAACTGTGAGAAAATAACCGTCCAGTGTTCAAGCGACCAGTCTGCCGCACTTTGTTACGGCGGCCCAGCAAACTTATACACTTAGGCCTTCTGTCTCTGCTTCCTCTTCCCATTGTCTCGCTTTCTTGTGACCTTCCTTTCTCTCATCAGAATTCCGTAGCCACCAATCAATCCCCCAGAACTGTTCCTCCGAGGTTACCACTGACCTGACTGCCACCACCGACCGCCACCTTGCTGCCTCCAGAGACCACGTCCCTGTCCTTAATCAGATTTGGCTTCTCCGCACCTGGTCACTATTTCCTTCTGAAGGCTTTTTCAGCACTTAGATTCCAGGTCACCTCGCTCTAATTTTTCACTCTCCTAATTGGCTGCTACTTCTCAGTCTTCTTGGCTGAATATTCCTTATCCTTTTTTTTTTTAAATGCACTTATTTATTTATGTGAGAGAGAGAGTGGGGGTGTGGGGGAGAGGGGAGTGCAGAGGGAGAGGGAGAATCTCAAGCAGACTCTCCTCTGAGCACGGAACCAGACACAGGGCTCTATCCCAGGACCCTAAGATCATGACCTGAGCCAAAATCAAGAGGGAGACACTCAACCAACTGAGCCACCCAGAAGCCCCATCCTTCTTTCTTCTAAATGTCCGAGGCCCAGGCCCAGGCCTTAGCCCTCTTCTCTGTTTATAGCCTCTCCCTGCCCATTCCATCCAGTTCTGTCTTTAAATATTAACAAGCTGGTAGGTCACACCTTTATGTCACCAGCCCCCACCTGTCCCTTTAGCTCTGGGCCCAAATAGTCAATTGCCCAAAACATTTCCCCTCTTGGTATCCAAAGAGCATTTCAAACTCAACATGTCTGAAACTCCAGGGTACCAACTCTCATGTCCTGTCACATTTAGAATGAGATCCAGACTTCTCATCCCTGCTTGCAAGTTTCCTCATGACCTTTCTGACCTCTTCTCCTTCCCCTGCTCCCCTTCCTCCTCACCCCGCAGCCCCACTGCTGGACCTCTCTGCACACCCATGGTGGGCCTTCACACTCACCGTTCCTTTTGCCTCTGTGACAAGTCACTGGCTAGAGCTTCACAGAGCTTACTTGCTCCTTTATTATCATTCAGGGCTTGGCTCAAAATCCACCTCCTTGAGAGGCCTTCCTTGACCCACTGTCTTACATGTCACTCTCCTGAAGGTTGTAGAACTCAGTCCTCTCAGGTTACACTTACAACATTTTAATAAGCTCATACTATAGTTCCAAGGATTATATTAAACACTTTATATGCATGATCTCATTTAATCCTCAGAACCACCTAATAGAGACAATCTTATCATTCCCATTTATAGATGAGGAAACTAAAGCTAAGAGAGGTCAAATCCAAGGTTAGATAGCCTGCACTAAGGTCTGATTCCAGAACTAGTGCTCTTAACCATTAGGTACAACTGCTTCTCACTTTAAATACTATTCTTAATTATGGACGATATGGCCTCCATGCTTGATTGATTTAAATTGCACTTGTGTTTGAGCAGGTAAAGTAACTCAGGTGTATCAGTGTGTGTGCTGGGGAAGGGCTTATTTTCCAAACTCTGGCTTTAAACATTCAGATGATACGAAACACAAGTTAGGTAAGGACAAATTCAAACATGGGTCTAGACCTCTGTGGTTCTTGCTTATATAGACTTATTAAAGAAGACGAGAGTATTTTGTCCTTAACCTTGTTGGGTTTTTAGGCTCAAGTTCTGAGAAGCTATTAAAGCTTTTAAGCTTTAGGTTTTTGCTTTTTAAAAAAAAAATCCCATTTCCACAAGGTGATTAGAAACAAAACCATTAAAATAAAATCCTCAGAAAAAGGTCTGTGTGCTGATGAGAACAAACATTTATTTAATACCTCATGTCCCAGACACTTTTCTGATTGTATTGTCTCCCTGAGTTGATATTATTTTCCCCTCTTTTGTAGTTGAGGACACTGTGGGACTCGGTAAGTACCTGTCCCGATACAGAGCAGGAACTCCACAATTTCCTCTCTCTTCCTTACCAGAGAGCACATTCTCCAAAGTCGTTTTGCCTTCCCAGCATGCAACACAATTGATTACCTGAGGCCCATTCTGTGAGACCTGTTCTCAGGGTCTGAAATTTAGTTCCATGTTATGATAAACACGAAAAGTTATTTCCCAGGGACCTATATGCCTTTCGGGAAGTGTTGCAGAAACCCAAAAGACTGCAAAGGAGTTTAAAGTTCTGGGACACTTGGGTGGCTCAGTCGGTTAAGTGCCTGCCTTCTGCTCAGGTCATGATCTCAGGGTCCTGGGATCGAACCCCATGTCAGGCTCAGTGCTCAGTGAGGAGTCTGCTGGAGGCTCTCTCTCTCTCCCTCGGCACCCCCCACCCCCCACTTGTGCGCATGCACACACTTTCTTAAATAAGTAAATCTTCAAGATAAAATAAAAAAAATAAATAAAGTGCTATGGCCAGTCCTCTTCAACTCATAGATCTGTGGGTCAGCTCAGGTAACCAACAGATACCAGGTCACACCCGATTCTCAGTGACACTGTGTAGTTCGAGAAAAGCGCTATTCCTCCAGCACAAAATCTCTTCTGCCTCCAGTCTTTGCACTGGCTCTTCTGGCTGCCTGGGCTACCTTTTCCCCTCATGCCCTTCTGTTCTTGCTGCTCGAGTGCAGCCTCCTCAAAGAAGCCCGACTGACCATCCTATCTCCCCACCAGTCTCTAACTCTTTACCCAGCTTTGTTTTTCTTCGCAGCACTCATTACACTATATGTTTACTTGCTTATTGTATCTCCTCCACTAGATGGAAGCTCCTTGAGGGCTGAGACTTTGTTTTGTTCGCTACGGTGTCTCTGGTGCCTGGCATAGAGGAGGTGATCATTAAATAATTACTGGATGACTGGATGGATGCTGTGAACACAGCAGGCCTGAATGAATGGGTGGATGGTGTTCAACCTTCACAGGTCTACGTATTCATGTCCTCCCTCTGTCTGAGCTACAAAGGGAAAGAAATGACTACTCCTAAGAGGAGTAAAGCAGGAGAAGAGGCCCCAAAAGAATAGAAATCAAAAACCCTCCCGCCTCAGATTATCAACGTACTTAGGTCTTTTGCCAAAACCACAAACAATCTGGACATTTAAGAACACAAATTAATCTTGCAAAGTGTAATAGATATTTAAGGTGGTTAATTCCAGCAAAAAGAATAACCCAATAAGTAAGTTTTCCTTAAATAGGAAGACTATGTAAGCGGTGTGTAGCTTACGTAAGTAGCAATCATATTATTTGAGGCATCCTTTTGAGAAGAGCAGAAAGAAACATGCTGCTGAAGCTGTCCCCATAATACAGCAATTCA